GAATTATAAAAAAATTAAATAAAAATTGATTCTCATTTGTTAAAAAATGAGTGAAAACATTGAGGGATTACAATCTCAAATTAAACAAAATTTTGTTAGATTATTGGACAATGAAATTGCTATTACAGATTTACAGCAGCAGATGATTATATTACAGGATTACAATTGTCGTAATAATATTAGATTGAAAGGAATTCTGGATTTGGGCTCCAAAGAGAAGGACTTAACTGAACTAGCCCTAGCCTGGCTGAAAAAGACGGCACCAAAATAGACTGGATTGTTTATGATTTGGATAAAATACATAGAGTCGGTTCCAGACACAAAGGACAGCCTTGCCATATTCTGATTAGATTTTCAAGCCTTAGAAGAAAAGAGGAACTGATGAAAATTTTAAGAGAGAAACCAGGGAATTTGGTATTTGAGGGGAACCCAATTCAAGTGTTTAATGATTATTGTCATGAAACTATGGTATTTAGAAGACAAGTGCGGGTTATTACTTCTATCCTTTAAAAAAAAGTATCAAATATAGTTGGGGTTACCCAGTGGTTTTAAAGGTGCATTACAATGGAAAATTTCATAAGGTTACATCAGTCCCAGTGATTTTGGATCTTTTAAAGGACTCTGGAATTTTAACAAAAGAAGAGTGGGAGGAGCAAATGAAGATGGTGGAGGGCCTACGGCAAAGTCAGGAGTCAGATGAAGAGGAAGGGATGGAGAGAGACTTGACTAATGGCAATAAGGAAAAAGAAGAACAAGAAAAACAAGGAGCAAAACCAAAACAACTGAGGAAGAGGAAAAGAAAAGGAAAATCAAGAGAATAAGAGATAATAATTTTAATGTAAAATCTCATTTGATGTAAAAGGATATGTTCTGGTAATTGTATTGTATAATATAATGGGATAAAATAATAAGGGGTGAATCCAGAAAAAAGTGAAAGTGGTATAGTAATATTGGAAGAAGATATCTAAGGATATATCTAAGGAGGTACCAAGTGATGGTTAATTATTAATTTGGAGGAGGAATATATATATAAAAGGAGAAAAAATCGGGGAGAAAATGAGATAAAGGGATTTTAAAATGGGGAGACCAGTAATAGAAGAATAAATAAGATTTCTACTGGGAAAAAACGGGAGAAGTCTGGGAAGAAAAACATAAAAAACAAAGACATTATAGATATTTATATACCTGATATGAAGAAATTTATATATGAATATTTAAACACACACACACACACACACACATATATGGATATACTTGTGGTAAAATGAGGTTCATATAATATAATAGAGTGAGACAGGGAGAGTGGTGGATGGGAGGACCAGACACATTTCCCCCCCACAGGGTCTGTAGAAGAGACCAGAAGAATCTGATGGAAGATGGGAGGAAGAAAAGCAGTAGTGGGGAAGGGGGTGGTAGAAGAATTCAATAGGAATTTAAAGGGTTTTAATTTTTTAAATTGGGTGAGCACTATAGTTGGCAATCACAAATCAGGACTAGTATTATTTTTTTTAAAAAAAATAAACTAGAGAATGGTTAAACAAGGTTTTCAACATGGAATGTGAAAGGCCTGGGTTCTAACATGAAGAGGGCTAGGATACAAAATGTATTGAATAAAAGTAATATGGGTATTGTATTCTTGCAAGAAACACATCAAAAAGGAGGGTTTTAATGAACTGAAGGGCAAATGGATTCAAATTTATGAAAAATCGTTTGAGACTTCAAAATCTCAGGGAGTAGCAATATTAACATCCAAAAAATGTGAATTTAAAATTGAAAAAATGGAAAAGGATACTCAAGGCAAATATTTGATATTGCAAGGTAAAATAAAAGGAGAAGACATTACACTTGTAAATGTTTATGTACTCAATGAGAGACAGGAGGAATTTTTTGAAGAGAAGATTGGAGAAATTGAGGAAAGGTCTTGTGATATTAGCAGGAGATTTTAACATGAAATGAAGAAGGATAAATCAAAGTTGCGAATTGAGGAAGGGAAAATTAAATGTACAATATTAAATATATTAAGTAATAAAACAGATTTGAAAGAGGAGGATGGGGGAGCAGGAATGGCAAGGTCAGAAACTGGCAAATGGGACACCTGTGACAGAAATGTTCCTGTGAAAATCTCAGGCCTCAGAAGCAAATGGTTTGTTCATGTTTTTCAGGCACAGCTCAGGAAACAGCCAGGGATAAGATACAATTGACAGATACAGCTGCTTAAATTCTGACACAGACACACATTTTAAGTGCCTCCATATTGTCTCTCTTTTGTGAAAAATTGAAGCATTATGAAGACATTTTTCTTTTCATGCTTTCGTTAAAAAAAGGCAGCTTTTTCTCTAGTAAGCTGCTCTTTTTGTTTCTTTTTTCTTTTGCAGACTGTGGTACTTGCTTGATGGAGAGCTGAGAAACCACACAACTATCTGACTGGTCTGTTTGTTGCTTTTCCTCTATCAAATATTGAGGCTGCCTGGGATCCTGAACCCACAACATTGGTGTGCCTCATTCTTCATCAAGTGGCAGAAAGCTCAGCGGAATGCATCCAGGGTTAGTTTCCTTCCAAGGACAGAACATCTAGGAGAAAGGTTTGCTTGGGCTTCTGGCTTCACGAATCATGTCTGATTGACCTCATTTGGGAAGACTCTCCTCTGGATCATCACACCAGAAAACTTCAGTCCAACTGGAAGAGAACTGGCCTATTTCTTCACACACATATGCATGGATGTCTGTCCATGTGATCTAGTTTCTTGGCACAATTTTAACTTGTCAAGCAATGGCCCTCCTGAAAAGACATGCATTGCGAACATGAGTTGCAGGCATGCTAAGAAGTCAAATAGTGTGGGAGGGAATCTTTATACTGCTTTCATTTTTATCCCATTCTTTCTCCTGTGAAGGGTGGCATACATGCTTCTCTCACATTTGATCCATGCAGCAACCCTGCAAGGTTTGTTAGGGTAATTTGTAGTGGGCAGATAAGAGCCACCCACTGAACTTCATAGCTGAGCCCAGGTCCTGCCATTTTAAGGGATAAACGAGATGAAACAGTTAGCCCATCATTAGAAGCAGAGGTTCTGTAAGAGGCAAAAGACACATGTTTTTGCTAATAATTTTTTCCTCAGCCCCTTGTGTCACAAATTAGCTTGCTTTTGCCTTGCAGTTTTTCACTGAGAATTCACATTGATTCTGATTGCAAATCTAATCAGGCATGGAACTTTGAAAGAATTGTGCAGCTGGAGGGAAAATGTTGGAATAACAGGAAAAATACATTTCTCTCAACATGAAATTTGGTCCTGTGTCTAAGATCCTAGTGTAGCCTTTTCCAATTTGCTGTGCTCCAGAAATGTTTCCACAATCAGCACAGCCATAGGCCCTCAAGTGAGTAGTAACTACTGTACTCACGTGTTAAGCAGCCTACCTACTAAGAGAGCACAGTCATCTTCTCATTGTGATATAGAGTCCTCTAGTTTGTCTGGATTGTGCACCAGAACACATTCTGCAGTCTCTTGTGAATGTATAAAAGTCTCTGCTCACATCTCTTAGTTTGTGCACTCCTCACATTACACTTCTGTCTTCCACCCTCTGACATATAGTCTTGCTGTGGGAGTCTCTTGTCCAAGGAACTTAAACGGTTCTGGAGCAAAGGTTGTAAAAAGGCAGCATGGCCAAGTCTGATTTGGGAGAGAGGAGATTTTGGGAGCTCTGGTTTCAAAACGTAACTTTTCCAAGATCCATTAGAAACTATCATGGAGTAACTGTTGGTTGTAGTGGCAATAAGGTGAACAAGATGACACGAGCGAGGGAAGGTTAAAGAAATTGCTTGTACATAGAGATCTAAAGATCTAGGGAGTGCCAGTGTTGTCATAAGATTATGCTGTGATTTAGAAAACTAAATGGATGTAGGTGGCTCAGAAAGTAGGATTTTAACCATGGTGTTCTTACACAGCTGGCATTCATTTTAGTAAGGCTTGCTTGTGAGAAAAATGAGAAACCTCCTGGTGGACTGAGTCCTCCATTCTGCTAGAGGAGGAACTGCCTCAGCTTCAACCGGTGCCTTGTAATGTATATCAGGATTTCAAACCAGGCTTTTAAAATATATATTTGAAAAACTACTTCAGTTCTCCAGAAAACACTCGGCTTAACAGAGAATCCATAATGCTAAACATGTTTGTTTAAAGAACTCCACATTATTGCTGCATATTATAAGAACGCTGCTTGACTAACACATTCCAATTAGCAGATTGGGCATAAGTAATCTATTGAGCATCTTGGAATGCCAACAATTGATTGCTTACTGGTATTTCTTTTAATCATTAGTTTATATTGATTACTGTAAATAGACTTTTAACATCATAAAGTAGGGCAAAAATTTATCCCTCTCTACATATTGTCGTAATGTGTGGCAGTAACAAATATTCATCTAATCAACTGCATTCAAATTCCAAAATACAAGCACAAAAAAAAAATGTTTTCCTGAAATGCCGCCAGGTCTAGGGAGTTCATTTTCTTGCTGATCTGCTACAGAGAAGCTCTCTGGCAACATAAAATAATTTACTTGTATTTTTGTAAATTGCATCCTTCTTTCCAAGGAGCTTAAGGAGCTTCTGTGGCATTTCCTTATTTCATTTTCACAACATCCTTCTAAGGTAGGCCAAACCACATCAATGACTTGCTCAAGGCTACCTATAACCTATGTAGCTAGGAACTCCCTAAAGTCATAGACTTAGAACTGCTCAGTTTCTAGTTGGGGAGCTGTTACTATGTAGTAAAATTCAGGAATCCAGATTCTTAATTCCTTATTCATCCTTGCAATAGTCAAAAGACATTTAGGGTCCCTTGCAGGCATCTCTTGTCTCCCATGCTGTTTAATGTATACATGAAATGTTACTAGGGATTTTTCAGGGTTGGTCCAAGTTTTGAGGTCCAGGGCCACCACTGCATTGATGATACCCAGCTCTGTTTTTCCTTTCCATGTGAATCTAGTTTTCAGTTCTAGCACGGTGTTATCAGTAATGAACTGGATGAGCATAAACAAATTGAAACTTAATTCAAACAAGACTGGGGTGCTTCTGGTCAGTTGGAGGCAGATCAGGGAACAGGGATTTGACCTCTGCTAGTTATACGTTCTCTGAAGATTCAGGTTTTTCATTTCAGTGCACTCTTGAACTCAGCTCCCTAGGCGTAGGCTAGATGTCTTAGCTTTTGTGGTAGCTCTTTCCTCTTCTAGATGTTTTGGGGAAAGATGGCATGTCTTACAAAATAGCTTTTAATTCAATCACCCTCAGTTACTTTATGTATTTAATTAAAATAATAATGCTTTTCAGCCACACACACAGACACAGACACACAGACACACACCTACCTCTCAAAGAGATGCCCATTTAACACAATAGCACAGTGATAACAGAACTGAGGCAGAACAAAGCATCATGAAGCACAAGTCAGAAGATTTAAATTAATCAACACTCATGAAGCAATGTGATTTGTTACAACCCATCTAATACTTGTTGAGGCTGGAGTCAGTTGAACCTCCTTCTGGAGGAGGAAGTTTCTAGTTGGGGAGCTGTTACAGAAAAGGCCATGTTGTGTACAGTACCCACCAGACCAGCCTGCTTGGGTGGTGGGATGCACAACTGAGGCAGCAACAAAGCATCATGAAGCACAAGTCAGAACATTTAAATTAATCAACACTCATGAAGCAATGTGATTTGTTACAACCCATCTAATACTTGTTGAGGCTGGAGTCAGTTGAACCTCCTTCTGGAGGAGGAAGTTTCTAGTTGGGGAGCTGTTACAGAAAAGGCCATGTTGTGTACAGTACCCACCAGATCAGCCTGCTTGGGTGGTGAGATGCACAATACTACCTCCTGTGAAATCACAGCCCAGGAGGAAACCCATAAAGTAGGAGGCAGTATTTTATCTATCGCTGGTCCTAAGCCATGTAAGGCTTTATAGAGGAAAAACCCTCTAAAATAAACTAATTCATGTAATTTATGCAATATTCTAGCTAGCAGCAGCTTCTGAGTCTTTTTAAGGGAAGCACATTATAGGTGCATTACAGTAATGTCACTGATAGGTACAGAAAGCATTGATCATTGTGGCCAGATGTCCTTTCTTCAGGAAGGGACAAAGCTGTCACTGAGCAAAGGCCCTTCCTGGCCACTGCTGCCATCTGGTTTCCAGAAACAATGCCAGATTTAAGAGTACCCCCCACTCCCTACCCCACAAGCTGCAGCCCTAGTCCTTCAGAGGGAATCTAATCTCACCAAGATTGGGATGTGCCCTGAATCCGATGTTGGTTTGTCAAGTGAGCAGTGGAGATAGTATCTTGCCTAGACTGAGCCTTAACCTGTTTACTCACGTGCAATACTTCATGTATTCCACTGAATGGTTCAACACTTCTCCAGTCTCAATGACATCAATATATTTTGATGTCCTCTAAGTGATCCATAATCTGGAAAGCAACATCAGAGAGAGGGGGAAATTAGCATAAAAGGAGCAGCCTCAGGAAAGGAAGTCATAATACTGGGCAGGATTTAAAATGAAGGTGAATATTCACATGATCAAGATGATGTGGAAAAGAAGTACTATTGTTGACCCAAAATAAAGATTGATAAGTTATCAGCAAAGGCCTAATAGTTGTGTGCCTTTAATCATATCCATCTATTCTAAAGACCGACCTCCACGCAATATCAAGGGAATGTTTGTCCTTAGTTGATATTCCCTTAAAAATTATTCAAGCTCTAATCTTTCACTCTGGATCTCTGCATTTCTTTCATATGGGATCCAGCTCCTGACTGATGTGTCCAGGCAATTATCTGAAAATAGTGATGAATGTTACTGCGAGAGTGTGCAAATGACTGTTTGGAGAGTTTAAGCTTGGATCTATATTAAAGGTCAGTTATCAAAGAAAAAAGGAGGCAAGAATGGATTATTTGCTGCTTGCAGTGAGTAGAATTTTAATGTCACTAATGTCGGTTATTAAGCGTAAATACACAAAGGTTTAAGGAAATCAAAGGATGAATGCAGTCCAGGCTCCTGGCAGTGTCCCCAAGGAATGCTTGTATTCAAGGAGGGGCTTAAAATACAAAATGAAGCTTTTTAGGCAATTGGGATTTAAAAGATATCTTCTCTGAGAGCAGTCTGATTCATGCTGGAGAGCGTCCTCGTAGAGTGCGGAGACCCTGGCACATCGGAAGTCAGTTCAAATCTATCCTTCGTTCTGAAGAACCAAGTGCTTGACAGGTTCTATGTTTCAAGAAAACCATTTATATGTCAATTAGCTGTTTAAAAGACTTCAAAACACCTTTGTGAGCCGGACCAACAATTCACAAGATAAAAGACAGAACAAAGGCTCTCCGCAGATTTCAGTTCTTCGGTCTCAAACCTCTGATGTGGAAAACTAAAAGACAGAAGGAGAAAAAGTTAGAAAGAGGGAGAGAAAAAATGGCTAATGAACAGGGCATAGTCACCATCCAGTAGAACATGCCTTTGGGAAGCTTGTGGGCTAACAAACATAACCCTTAACAGCTGCAGACTTTGGAATTTGTAAAAACAAAAACCAAGGTGATGATCTAAACACACAACTATATACTTCAAAGAAAAATATCCAGCAGAAGCTTCTATGAATTCCTAGTTGTGAAAGGGAGAAACAGCCTGTTATTTAAGATTCTTTGTCCGAAAACCAAGTGTCTACAATACTTACTTGCTGGGAGGCAGGGGACCAGGATGAGGTGGAGCCCATTTCCCAGTGGAAAATGCCCTGGGCTGGGTTCTGCTGTCAGTTCACCTTCCACCCACCATCTCATGTATCTGCTGTGGTGGCCACACCAGAGGAAGAACTGAAAGGGAAGTGGGGCAGGGTCAGAGAGCACACACTCAGTTTCAGAGCCCCCTTCCGTTCCAGGGAAAGGTCTGTGCAGAACATTGGCTGCAGGTGTGTGTAATTAAAGTCACCACACCAAATGGCAGAGCTTTGGATGTGATCTTACTCACCAGCCAGTCATAGTACTACTGTGGATAGAGACCATCCTACCGCAGATGATTGGTTGCATGGTATGAGGCATTGCCTCCTTCCCTCCCACTCTGACATCATAGGGAAGGTCATGCAGGAACAACGTCTGCAGTATTCATATGCCCTCAGTCCCACCACAATGGCTCCTCAACCCAAATACTACCCAAGGCCATGACTTGTCTCACAGTATGTTGCCTATGCTGCTGCACAGCCCTGCTCTCATCACCTCTTGTCTCCCTCATGTCTCCAAAAACGGTGACTTAAGAGACAGATGGACTCCACAGTGCTAGAGCGCAGAAAGCAGAGGCTTGTCCACCAGGTGGACATAGCGTCCAAGTGGATCTGTCAAGGTCCTCTCTCAAGCTTGGCTGCTGTGCCATCAGTTTTCAGGTTAAAGAGGCACAAGTGATAAGTCATCTATCAGGTGATATGGGGCACTTATGTGTCACACCTCCTATGGGGACAGGATGGGGGGTGGCTCGCAAGGCTGCAATGGGGCAAAAAAATATGTCTCAATCAGGTGTGTGGATAAGCCACTAAGATCCTGGCCTGGTGGACCTCCTTTCCTCCTCCCTTCCAACAGCTGTTTGACAGTATTTTGCCCAGCACCATTGAACGTCAGGGAATCCTTTGTCTGAAGGCCATGTTGTACAGCCATGCATGCTTGACTCTGGACACGTTATCCAGTATCCTCAAGAAAGTGCCCATGTGAGTCAGGCATCTGAAACACATCTTCAGCACTGCAAATGGACAATCATATATTATGTAAGCGGCCCATTGTGCCTTGTTCTAATAGAAAACATATCCTGGAACCGCCCTCTGATAAGGAATAGGAGGCAAGAGTGCAGAAGGAAATCCCATTCACGTGCGTAAGAAGAGGACAGAGCTGTGTTAGCAACCTGTCTTAGCCAGAATCCACCTTGCTCATGTCTATCTCATAGCTGTTCATTTTCTTCAGGCCAGGTTTCCATCACAATGAGTCAGATGGGTGCCTGTAAGATTTGGTTATTGTCCATGTAGTCCATGGCATCTGTGCACACAAAAGTGCTGCCTAGAGTGGTCGAAATGACTAGATAGATAGATAAATAAATAAATAAATAATAAATAAATAAATAAAAACAAATGTAGCCCTGTAAGTCCCCAGTTATCCAGGGACGACCCAGGTGGTCCCCCGAGGCTCAGTTCTTGGATTCATTTATCCCCAGAATGTTTACAGATGGCAATTAGGTCAGGAGACAGTATACCTGCTCTTCCTTACTAACAAGTATGGTGCCAGTCTGGCTCTCCCACACTTCCTTAGCACCCAGCTTTTCACTCTGGAAATTGGCATCCCTACTGAGCACCCAGAGACAATGATGCTTCTCACCATACTTTCAAGTCCAGTGAGTGTAGTTGCATGGAAAGGTTAGGACAGCCTGGGTCAGCAATAAGGCTTGCTTTGTGGCATGGCTAGCAGTGAGAACCTGATACGATCTGTCTTATTAGGAGCTGTCCTCATCAGAGAGCAAGAAGGAAAAGGGTGGAGTGGCAGGCTGCTGGTGGTGGTGGTGGTGGTAATGGCCATAGCAGAGTGAGCTGAGAGTGTTAGCAGGCAAGTGTAGTACCATAGGTGGGTGTAAGTAGGTGTAATATGCTTACGCCTGTGCAAAGTGATCAGCCAACTTGTAATATAAATGTGTATTTTGGGTGCATTTGAATGTAATTCCTTCACTTTCACCTTTCTTGCCCATATTTCCTTATCTTCCTATGCCCACTGGAAGGAAGCAGGCTAGAAGACTGAGACTTGGAAGGGCAGCAATGAAGGAACCAGAAAAGATAATCAAGTGTAAGAATATTTCACTGGAGACCAAGACCAAGATAATTTACACTTTTGTATTCTTGACCATATTTGGATGTGAAAGCCAGAAAATAAAGAAAGTTGACAGAGGAAAAAAAATATTCATTTGAAATGTGATGCTGGAAGACAGCTTTACGGAAATTCTGAACTGCCAGAAAAATGAACAAGTGGGGCTTTGATTGAATCAAGCCTGAACTACCTCTGAAGGCAAAAATTTTGAAACTGAGGCTATCCTACTTTGAGCACAACATGAGAAGGTAGGATTCTCTGAAAAAGACAATAATTCTGGGAAAGGTAGACGGTAGCAGGAAAAGAGGAAGACCAAATATGAGATGGATTGACCCCCCCAAAGGAAACCACAGTCTTGGATTTGCAAGAGCGAAACACAGCTGTTGAGGAGAGGACATTTTGGAGAATGCTCATTCATAGGATCACAATGAGGCTACTTGAGGACACATAAAAACAACAGACACTCAGCAGGGGAGTGCAGCCAATAACAGCTCCTTGAGGAGCAGTGCCATATGTGTAATGCATGTGTTCCCAATATATTCGGACTTTATATTCTTCTTTTTTAAAAGAAGTACACATGTAGCTTAAGGTACACACCTTCAAAGATGTGTACCTTACCCCCCTCCCTCCTTCAGCTTTCCCATTCCGTTCAGTATTTATGGTATGTAAAATTGTCTTTATACGTATATTTTTTTTGTATTATCTTTTAATGTTGTTAGCCGCCTAGAGTGGTCCTGACACGACCAGATAGGCGGGATATAAAATAAATAAATAAATAAATATGTCACTTTCAGTCTTTTGCACAATTTTCACCTGGGAAAGAAGGACAGATAGCAACTCATGCTTTGCCAACTCCTTCTTCCAGTTATATAGAAATCCACATTAAAAATTTAGTTCAAATAAAGCCTCAGATGAGAACATTTTGCTTGCTTCTGTTTTTATCATTGATTTCAATTACTGCAATAAAGCAGATTGAAACAGGCAAGGTATTTGGCAGGCAGATTTTCACTATGTCAACAGCAACAAAGACAACCAATTTTTATCTCCAGCCTTTTATTTCCAAAAATGAGGGAAGAGATTTCATGAAAATATGATCTTAATTTGCAGTGTCATGGAGTAATTGCCAGACTCCTTGTGATTTACACACATTAGATTTTATATGTATGGCTACATGCGGTAAGGGTCATTAGCACAGGGCAGCATTAGATGTTGCATTTGATGCAGACTGCATCTGGAAATAGCAGCCATGTGTGATGTTGCCCCTTCCATAGGCCATTTTCCTGTTCACACTGGCAAAAAGTAAAGTCACACCAGCATGAATGTGCTGGGCATTATGGAATTGCACTCTGCAAATGCACAATCAGTTGTATATCCCCGGCCTGACCAATTGTGCAGCCTTCCCTCTCAGTGCTAGCACAACTACCATGGGTGCACCCTCATGTTGCACACATGCAGTTGTGCAATAGGACTTTGGCCATTCTCATAGTATTCAGGTACCATTCCCTGTGTTGTGATGACATCATAGAACACACTTCCCTGCTTGTGTTCTACATTACTTGATGTCACCAGCAGGGATAGAAAACTACACAGAGTGGTGATGTCACCACATGGGTAAGATGTGCCTAAAGATTTTGGAGGAGGGGCAGAACTTGATAGGCAAGAATAACATCTAGTGCTACAATGCATCATCACTGAACAGATCTTCCTTACCATGAAGTAAAAGGAGGCAGGTGGGAATCCTGGAAAAGTTAGTACTTTGAACTATGATTCTTAGAAGCAACAGGCCTTTCTGTTTGGGAAGGGTGGTGTAAGGACAGCTCCTGCCACCACAGCCATTCTTCCTAAAAATTTTCTGGGTATTCTCCAACACTCTTCAAGTTATCTCTCTGCTCTGAGGTGTGGTGAAGGTTGACCTCCTGCTGCCAGTACTGAAATGAGATTCAACTGACAGTCCAGTCAGCTTCTGAATATGGAATGTGCATGCAGTGGTGCGTGTGTATACATGTGTACCATTTTATTGATTGCCCCCTAGTAGCTTTGAAAGGGATTACACAAAGTTATGGGCAATTGGTCTTTTAGCTGTTACAACAAAATGGAGTCCCCCAGTTAGAAGGGAAATATACCTCTAAATCAGAGATTTTTTTATTTTTATTTTTATTTTTATTTTTTTTTATTACAGTTCCTAGAATCTCCCAGCTACCATGGCTACTGAGGGGTTCTAGGAACTGAAGCAAAAAAAGAGTAATATTTCCATGTTCAGTTCTGAACATCAGTTGATCAGGGCAAACAAGAGATGGGATTCATAATCCATGTGCTTCTCTTAGGGGCTTTCAGAGGGGTCTCACCAATGGCAGCGCCCAGAACTTTAATATTTCATTGAATAAGTAATGAATATATTCTTTAAAGTACACATCTAATAACTATAAAAGGTTAAAAGGCAAAAAAAAAAAACACCCCCCACACACCCAACAATCCCAAAGTAGTTTGCTTATATGCCTCCTTTATGGTAGTTTGACTGCCACTTTTGCATAGATTTATGATGATAATTCTTGCCACACATGGAACTAAAAAACAAAACAAAACAAAAACCCGTTTATTTTGCTGTCTAAATAATAAGGCAATTTGTTACAGCTAATTACTCAAATGCTTCCTTAATCTCAATTAAAAGATAGAGAACTGATTTTCACCCCCACCCCCTACCCATGCAATGCTGCTACCTTTCTAAAGCCATACGCTCCCCCAAAATCTTTTTTTAATGTCTTCCCAATTACATATTCATTAAGGAATGTGCAGCCCATGGAAAACTGAACTGCTAAAATACATAGCTGCAATCTTAAACAATGATTTATTGTGACATGGGATGGGGGACATTTCCACGGCTTTTTGTGATTGCTGTGATGAAGCTGTAAAGCAAATAGCATGAAATGAAGCAAGGCCTCACAATTTAATCAGCTCGTAAACAGATCTACCGCATCAAGCAAATGACATTATTATCCATCTGAAGTAAATCTTGCTAATCTCAGGAGATAAAATCAACATCATTAATGGTCACATGTCATATTCATCAACACTAAACCATCCCTTTTGACAGATTAATCCTAACTACAGCTCCCACGATGTATGGTAATCAAGCCCAGAGCCTGCAATTCATTCCACGGCAAGGCTAACCAGTACTCTTAGCACAGCTATTACAAATAATTTTTTTATTGATTTACATATTTTAAAATGCATTTAAGGTGAGGTGCCATTAAAAATCCTGTCACTATTGCATACTTCTCCCTCCCTGCCTTCCTCTGCATTCACAGAAATGGAAAGCAAGAACACTTTTCTTGCCACCCAGCAGGAAGACATCCTCCACAATCCCCACTGAAATGAACAGAGGCCTAGTAAACGCAGCACCGGAATGGCTTCCATTCACTTCACTGGGAGTTTCAAAACATGGCTCCTCTTACAAGAAACATTTCTGCACTTCTGCCCAGTGCCCTTGTTCTGCAGTGGCTAAAGGGAGATAGAGGGAGTTGTGATATTCTCTCCCCGCCCCCCAGTGAACCGGAAACTGACAGGCGGGCTGACCTACCTCACAAGGCTGTTGTCAAGATAAAGTGTGGAGGGGAAGCAGCCCCAAGTGGTGACTTGAATACATTGGAGGATAGGAGAGATATAAATATAACAAGTAAATAAATTATTATAAAAAGCCCACACTTCTAGCACTTCCAAGCAGCGTAGAAGTCCCCCCCCCCTGGCTTTTCATTTCCCCCCCCCATACTAAGCCTAGCAGGAAGTTAGGCTAAAAGACACAGCAGTTGTAAGGTTATCCAGTGAGCATTATGGCTGATTGGGGACTGAAAATCCATTTCCCCCAATTTTGTAGCCCAGTGCTCTAACCACTATGCCACACTGGCTTCTGTCAAAGAACTTCCTGTTTCGATTTCTGTTGTATCTGCCTTTGATCTGCCATGCTGTCGAGCTGAAAATGATGAAAAGAACCATTTTGGGCACACCATTTTCCAGTGCTATCAAAGTACATGCCTGCTTTTTATTGATCCCAAATGCAGCCAGCCCTACATCTTACCTGGAGGATAGTCACATTGGCTTCAGTGGGACTTTATTCTGAGTCAGCCAGGTTAGCATCACACATTTATTTGTGGTTTGTGAGGGTGGAGGAAATGTGCCGGGAGCGTGACACATGTTTTCTGAAAGCTGGAAGCCATGGGTGAGCTTGAGTTGCGTGGGACCCCAACGCCCCCTGCTGTCCTCTTCTAGTCAAGCTGTGACTGTGAGCCAGTCGGGCACTTTCAGGAGAGGGCCTGGAGCATTCATGGAACACAGAGACAAACTCTGCAGAACCTGGAAAGACAGAGAGCTGCTCCAGGAGGTGTTTGAGTTCAATAGAATTTCGGAATAGGAAGGCAGGCATGCTTGATTGCTCTAGCTCTACCATTTGGCCCAAAGTGGGTTGGAATATCAATAGGCAGGGACCTGGCTTCTGCTTGCACCTTGTACTGACTTCCTCTGTTGGACCACCTCATCCAAAAATGTTTACTTTGACTTTGAACACTTCAAATGGATTGTATTATTTATAGAGATACATTTATTGTTGCATATGTGTACACATTGTCTGGGTAATTGGGGGCGTAGATCTTATGCTATAATCTCTTCTATTGTTTTTGCTTTTTCAAAGGATTGTCAATAAAAGTTTTCTTTTAAAAAAAAGACAGAGATTGTTTATTTTGACTTAAGCAATTACTCCCCAAGAGCAGAAGCAAAGGTCTTTTCCCAATTCTAAAATCCTGGAAGGAGAATATATTTTTTTCATCTCATTTTTCTCCCATACAGTCTTTCTAAAACCATCTCATTTTGTGAATTTTGGTAAATTTTCTAAAAGCAAAACCAAAACTGAAATTAATTTTTTTTTCCACCCACCTGACTGCCACAGTCATTCTCGGCATGGAATAAGCGTTATATCTGTCAATCCGGCATTAAAACTTTCAGAAGAAAGGAGGGTCACCATATGTCAAAAGTGATTTCATGGCATGTAACAGAAGATGAAGACGAAGACGAAGAAGAAGAAGAGGAGGAGGAGGAGGAGGAGGAGGAAAACTTAATTCAGCACTAAAATAGTTGAATATACTAATACTAATACTAATACTAATACTACTATTACTATTACTATTACTATTACTATTACTACTACTACTACTAATAATAATACTAATACTAATACTAATACTAATACTAATACTAATACTAATACTAATACTAATACATGATAATGATAATGATAATGATAATAATAATGATAATAATAATAATAGCATGCAGTCAAGTCAGTTCTGACGTATAGTGACCCTTTCCAGGGGTTTCTAGGTAGACAGTAATTGATAGGGGTTTGCCGTTCCTTTCTTCTGGGATTGCCTGAGACTGTGCAGCTTGTCTGAGGTTGCACAGGCTGTCCCTGGAGACACCATGGAAATTGAACTCCCAATCTCTGGCTCCGTGACCCTTTCCAGGGGTTTCTAGGTAGACAGTAATTGATAGGGGTTTGCCGTTCCTTTCTTCTGGGATTGCCTGAGACTGTGCAGCTTGTCTGAGGTTGCACAGGCTGTCCCTGGAGACACCGTGGAAATTGAACTCCCAATCTCTGGCTCTGCAGTCAGACCCCTAACTCACTGAGCTATATACAAGGATTCAAACTCTGATTTTTTAAAGAGTTAAATATATTAGATAGCCATACAGGATCTTTTTCATGCCCCCCCCCCTCCATGGCCATGTGGGTATAGAAATATAGCTCAGTGGTTTAGGGTTCTGGCTGTTGAGCGACAGGTTAGGAGCTCAATTCCTCACTATGTCTCCTTAACAGGGGCTGGACTCGATAATGATGCATAAGGTCCCTTCCAGCACTGCAGTTCAAAGATGATGATGATGACATATTCAAATTCATTTTCTTTCCTGCGCTCAAGTTCTTTCTATTGCAAATGAAAAGAAATGTGCAAATTTTGAAAAATTTTGCAGAAAACAAATAGGAACAAAATCCACCCCTATGTCTACCAGGAATTTTTAAACAGCAGACACCAAGGACTGAAGCTTGCATAGGAAAATCTCATCCCTTGCCACTGGATCCCTAAACTGGACTCCCACTTACCTAAATGGTTAGAGAACTAGAATGCTAATTTGGCCCCTTACAAATTTCTGGAGGATCTGGAACTGGGGTTAAAAAACCCAAAGCCCATATTAACTTGGCACAAAGTGGCCCAGTGACCAGCACAGAGTTGATGTTGGCGTTCAGAAAATGTAGCTCTTCAGTTTATTAGACAAATTATTATCTCTCCCAGTCTGAGTTTCCCTTGATCAGAAAAACTGCTGTAACTTGAACCACGTACATCAGCAGAAAGGCAGGTGGTTGCCAAATGGCCATCTCCATGTTGGGAATCATTGTGCCCATTAAATTACACTATTGCAAAGGTGGGGACAGGGGAGAGGGCCTTCTCTGTTGCTCCTTCCAGACTCTGAAAGCCCTTCCCACTGGAGGCCAGGTGAGCCCCTGTTTTGCTGTCCTTCCACAAGCAAGCAAAGACCTTTATCATCAGTCAACCTTTCCCTTAATTACTGGTTGTCTGAGATGCTTTTTAAAATGGGGTGGTTCATATTTTGTCAGCTGCTTTTAATTCAGTTTTATCAATACTTTTATCTAACATTTTATATATAATGTTTATTTAATTCTTTAAAAAAATGTAAATAGCTTACTTTTTAAGCTTTCGTATTTTGTCTTTTTAAAATTATGCAAGCCATCTTGGGTTCTCTTTTATGAGAAAGGTAGAGTAAAGATATTTTAAATAAAAATAAAATAACATTCCTAGATACCCCCCTACTCCCCCAGGTACTCATTTGCTTGTATGCACAGCTATTTTTAGGAACTCTCTAATGATACAGTTGAGTAATCAAAATGCTGAACTTCGAATGTGCCTTATTTTCTTATTTGTTAAGCCTAAAAGCAGGTGCTGGATGGAGATGAGAGACCTGGCTGCAGAAATCCACATATGCTCTTTCCAAATAATGATGAATTAATTTGTTGACTTACTTGGGACAAAATTTGATCAAACAGTCTGTGCACGACTGAGGACAGTATGGCATGGACCACTAAAACCTTTGCCTGGTAGACTTTTTTACTCCCAGCACTTCCTCTGTTTGCTCCTACAGCAACATTTCTTTGTGATGTCAGTATGATTCAATAACAGTTCACCATGAAACAACCTGATGTCAGCTGCTATTGTGTTAAGGAGGCTGGTGGAAGAAACAGCTATACACAGATGCTTGTGATGGATATACTCTTCAATGATTTCCACTTCTCTATTTAGGTAAAGCCAATTGCCTTCTATTTTCCCATCATTTTTTTTATCCAGAAATATATTTTTGATAATGAATCACCTACAAACTACAGTAGGACATCCCAGTTATGGGGTACACGAAACCTTAGGAAAGAATATGTATTAAGATATTAACTGTTTTTGGGGATCTTAAAAACTTTTTTGGGGTACATCTCATACTGTAAGCAAACTTCCCAGTGTTGGGTTGTTGAGTTCCTAATGTTGAGTTGTTGGCCTGGATTCAGGATTTGGGCTGGCAGTTGTTGATTCCTGTACATGAGGTTACTGCACTTGTGTTGAATGAAGTTCTGCCTTAGGTCCCTTATTGTCATGAGTGCAGCTGAAGACCTGGAACCAGAAGGGTTAACTGAGGCTGAGGAGAATGCTGAGCAATCAGAAACACCTGAATCGCCTCCAGATTCTCCTTCCCAGGCAGACAAGCTTCGGGCCAGGCTTCGGGGAAGACTTATGGCAAAAAGGTCAGAGGATCGCTCGAAGGCTGTCCACAGAAACATCCGTTCAACTAGCCCTGAGTACTGACAGGATGGAAAGGTTTCCAGCAGTTCAAGGGGCTGTTTTACTATAAAAGCAGCTCCTTGTCAGCTCGAATTCCATGGAAGCAACAAGTCAAAACCTCTGGCTTGCATTGATGCTCCTACAACCTTGAACCGTGTTTCCCGAACTCCTGACTCTGGACTTGGACTTTGGACTACATTGTGTAGTTGACTCTGGACTCGGACTTTGGACTACGTTGTGTATTTGACCTTGGACTCCGTTCTGTGAGTTGTTTTGGTAACTGGATTTCGGCTTTGCATTCCTAGTATTTCTGACTTTGGACTGGCTTATCGGACCTCGGCTGTTGTAACCCCCGGGAATGTGACACTTATGGTTTTGGACTTTAAAGTATTCACTTGTGTACATGAAGTATAAGTGATTCAGGGTTGGGACCCAGTCTATCTGTTTTTGGGAGAAGCAATTTTAAAGCATTTAGTTACTAAATTGATCTCCTGCTTTCCCCCAGGGATGGCTTTTTTTCTCTCAGGATTTTGTTCTTTTAATGAACAGGGAGTTAAATTTTAATATTGTAATGAAAGTGCAGAGTCACAAATGTAAGGAAAAGGCCAATGTAATGTCTAACAGCATGCAGGTGTAAGAAGATGATGTAATGCTTGATTGTTAAGCAAGACCAGCTGTAAATGGTGAAATGTGATAGGTTGTTCTGGGTATAAATGTAACAGAGACAGAACAGACTTTTGCCACTCAGCAGTAAGTCTGGTGGTCATTTGCTTCTATGTCATTATTGCTCTGAATGTTGTTATGCCCAATGTATATTGCCTTGTATATATATGTGTAGCCATATCTAATATACTGTATTATAATCACTAAGAACTCTCTCATGTCATTTTCTCCCCACGTCTAAATCTCTAAGTCTCTAACCTTGCTAAATTTAAGTGGGAAGAACGGAAGCTGTCTGATAAGAGGCTCTGTATAACTAGTGTCCTTAGTTTTGAAGGCTTGTCTTTTAAACAGAGTGCTCTTGCCAAGCTTCACATTCAACCAGACTCTAAGACGTTTTCCTGAGGTCAGAGCCTTATTAAGCCTCTGGAGTTTTGACCCCATGCCAACAGGGTTATGGGCCCAGGGAGACGTGGTGCCCAGGAGACGTGGTAAAGCCCAGGGAGACACTGAGATGTTTGTTGGCCCAAGGAGAAGGCATGTTGAGGCTGCAAGTTTATGGAGAAGAAGCCAAGAGTTGGAGGAGCTGAGTCAGATTCTGAAAGTGATGGACAGCAGATCCAAGGAGGAGGCTTCAGAATGCAGCAGGCCAGTAACCATCCTTTATTACATTTAAATGGTCATAATTATATGTCATGGGCCTTTAATGTATTTAAGAAGAGAGAGTATATGGCAGATTGTTTGTAATCCTCCAGCCCAACTAGATGAAGAAGATGTGGTTAATGATGAGAGAGCATTGTCTACAATAATATTATGCCTGAATGATTCTCAACTAAATTATGTGAAAGGAAAATCTTCAAGTAAAGAGGTTTGGGAATCGTTAAAAGCCATCTATGTGAGACAAACAGCTGGATAGAAGATGTTAATCACACGTGAGCTGTATTGAAAGAGGCTACTCCTTGAACAAAGCATAACTAATTATATGCAGGAGTTTTCTGAGTTATTTCTCCAGCTGCAGGAGTGTGGGATGGATTTCCCAGAGGCCCATAAGTGCTACATTATATTAAGCAGTTTGGATAAGAGATGGGAGACACTCGTAATAAGTATGGAAAATTTGCCAGCAGCAATTCTGACGCTGGCATATGTCGGGGAGGCTATTGGAGGAGGAACGGAGGAGACAGGAGATGGCCGAGGATGTGTCTGTGCCAAGTCTACGCAGATGGGGGAATTCCAAGGATGATAGCAACAGAAGGATGTCTGCTGATAAAGTTTTCCCTGATTATGAAATCCTAGCTGTAAAGAAGAAGAAATGTTTCTTTTGTGGCAGTGAAGGACATTTGGCTAAAGACTGTTTTCATCAAAGAAGAGATAAGCCGAAGGACAGTGGGAAAGTAAACAGAACTTCAGAGCAACAAAAAATGAACTGTGTGTCAGTAATTACTACTAATGACTCTGATATATGGTCAATTGACTCTGGAGCCACTCAGCATGTTTATAGGCAGAAAATGTGGTTTAGAGAGTTAACACATTCTGCTAAAAGACAAGTACTGTAAGTTTAGCAGATGGTAAAAACATTGAAGTTTGTGGAACAGGCAATGTGTGTGTTAAAAGCCTAAAAGAAACTGAAAAATGTTTTGTTTGTACCAAAGATTAGCTGTAATATAATTAGCATAGCATGTTTAGACCAAGCCAGTTATTCAGTTAAGTTCAGTGGAGGAGTTTGCAAAATAGAGAAAGCAAATGTTCTTGTTGCTACGGGGCATTTCAAGGGAAATCTCTTGTTTTGGATATAACAGAAGAAGTAAAATGTTCTGCAAATTTGTTAAATAATAATATGCCACATTACAAATGCATACATAATTTGCACAGGAACTAGGACATGTGAATTTTGAAGTGTTAAGGAAAACTCAGCAATGTGTGAGCAATCTAAATTTAAAGAACTGTGATAAATTTCTAGATTGCAATGTCTGTAAGGCTTCTAAATCAAAGAGGCACCCTGTAAGCATGAAAAGCAGTAGAGTAAGTAAAAAGTGCTTTGAGCTTGTACACATGGACATTATGGGTCCATTTCAAGTGTCACTGGGGAACAATAAGTTCTGTTTAACCATAACAGACGATTTCACTAGATACACTTATGTCTTCATTTTGAAACATAAAAGTGAAGCATTCCAAAAGTTTAGGGAATGGGTGGCTATGGTTGAGAAATGGAATGGATTATCGTCGCTTTGCGGGGCACCACTGTATATAGCAACAGACATATATTCTCTGCCTTATGATCATAAGCTGGACATTTATGATGCAAGAAAACTTTCTGATGCAGAGGACTTCCCACTGAACTTAACTGGCTGGATGCTCAATATATATACAGTGGTGCCTCGCACAGCGAGGTTAATTGGTTCCAAAAAAACCATCGCTATGGGAAAACATCGTATTGAGTGTCCCATAGAGATGCATTGAAAACCGGATAATCCTTTCCAATAGGAACGGATTATCTGGTTTTCTCCCCCACTATCGGGCGCAGCCCTTTGGGAGAAGCCTCGGGGGAGGGGGGAAGACGGCATTGGCTCCTGCCTTCTCCCCCACCACCTGGCTTCTCCCAAAGGGCTGCCCCAACTGTGCTTGCAGCAGCGGAGGAGGTGCCCGGTGGAGGAGAAGGCAGGAGCCGATCTGTCATTTCTCCTCCACCGGGCACCTCTTCCGCTGCTGCAAGCAAGTTCGTGGCAGCCCTTTGGG